TAAATAGAAGCCCATTAGAGGAGAGAGAATTTGTGCTTCATACCCTGGGACCTCGGTATATGTCGAGACTTAAGACAGCCTTGAGGGTGGGGAGAAGATACACTTGAGCTTGTAACTCCAGGGTGAGATTATTGTTGTTAGTTGCCGTCGAGTCTATTCTGACTCATGGCAACCCCCAGGTGGTGCAAACGGTTAAACACCTGCCTAGTAACCGGAAGATTAGTGGTTCAGATCCACCCAGAGCTGCCTCAGAAGTAAGGCCTGGCGATCTGCTCCTGAAAGGTCACAGCCTTGAAAACCCTGTGGAGCAGTTCTACTCCGACACATGTGGCATCGCCATGAGGATGAGATTAGAGGAGGAAAAATTCCATTCCAGCCCTCATGAGGAGTTGAGGAAAGGAGGATTAGGGTCCCCACCTGATAAAGAATGACAGGGCTCAGGAAGGAGAAATGTTTGCTCCAGTTCACATGGTTAGATGGTGGGAATGGTGAAGAGAGAGGGGAGTATTTTGATTATTTACTTGAAAACAACTTTTATTGGCCATGTTTCCTGATTTTAAAATGTAATATATGCAAGGGAATGGCTCAGGAGAGATTTAGTCCTATAGTGGAATACTCTACAGCAGTCAAAATTATCGTGATGTACGAATGCATAGTCCCTGGGTGCTGCAAACAGTTAATAGGCTCAGCTACTAACTAAATGGTTGGAGGTTCGAGTCCACCCAGAGGTGCCTCGGAAGAGAGGCCTGGTGATCTACTCCTGAAAACTCTGCCATTGGAAACCCTATGGAGCACAGTTCTACTCTGACACACTTGAGGTCACCATGAGTTGGGGTTGATTCGATGATGGCTCTGGAGATAGACAGACATGTATCCACGATGAGAATCAATGTGTATAAATCTTGAAAACATAATGTGGGATGAAAAGCAAGCTGCAGAAGGATGTGTTCAGTATGACACCATTTTCTATGACATTTAAGAACTTGCATCACTTCCTACATGAAGCCTTCCCTGACTGCCTTCACTAGGCCAAGCCGCCAGGCAGACCTATTCACACCATCCTGTGCATCTCCTTTATGGAACTTGACATTTGATTGTGGGATTACTCGACCGTGCTGCCTCCACGCCAGACTGTGAACCCCGCGAAGGCAATGATTGAACCTGCTGTTGCTCTCAGGTGTACCCCCAGTGCCTAGCAAGGGCCTGGCATATAATTGGTGCTCAAAAATACTTGTTGGATGCATGATGACCTTGGGTAAGTCACTTGACCTTGGGGAGCCTCAGTTTCTTCATCTGTCAGGTGGTGTATGAGTGTCCTGGGGCTGCTGTAACAAATGGCCACAACTGGGTAGCTTGAAACAACAAAAATCTATTCTCTCACTGTTTTGGAGACCAGAAGTCTGAATTTAGGGTGCCAGCAGGGCTGTGCACCCACTAAAGTTTCTAGGGGAGGATCCTTCCTTGTCTCTTCCAGCTTCTCATGGCTCTAGGCATTCTTTGGCTTGTGGCCACATCACTCCAGTCTCTGCCTCTGTCCTCACATGGTCCTCTCCTCTGTGTGTCTCCCTGTGTCCTTTCCTCTACTTACAGGGAAACTGGTCATTAACATCCTAATCCAGGATGATCTCATCTTGAACTTTACCTTAATCATGTCTGCCAAAAAAAACTCCATTGCTGTCTAGTCGATTCCAACTCATAGCTACCCTGTAGGACAGGGTAGAGCTGCCACTAGGGTTTCCAAGTCTGTAAATCTTTATGGAAGTAGACTGCCACATCTTTCTCCTGCAGAGTAGCTGGTGAGTTCGAACTGCCAACTTTTCGGTTAGCAGCTGAGAGCTTTAACCACTGTGCCACCAGAGCTCCTTAATTATGTCTATAAAGATCCTTATTCCAATTAAGGTCACATTCTGAGATTCCAGGTAGACATAAATTTTGGGGGACACCTGGGTGGTGCGAACAGTTAGGCACTTGGTTCGTGTTCATCCGGAGGCACCTTGGAAGAAAGGCTTGGTAATCTACTTCCAAAAATCAGCCAGTGAAAATCCTATGGAGCACAGTGGTCCAATCCCATTGTGCATGGGGTCACCATGAGTTGTGGCCAACTCGACAGCAGCTGACAACCACAACAGCAACAACGTGTCTAGTCTGTGGCAGTGAGAGCTGAATAGGTGTTCTTTACAACTCAATCCTGAGGTTACTTTCTGGAAAATGAAACTAGTGCCGGAAGGAGGGAATCAATATGATGAAATAAGTCATTGCACCCAGGGAGACACCCAGGTTCAGACTCTAGGGTGTGGCTTTAGAAGATTGTGACAATATTAGCATGAGGGTACAACCTAACCCCTTACAAAGATTATAAAGACATTAAATGGGTATACAAAGTGGAAGAACTGATTAAGAGACATTATTCCTGCTCCCCTAGTGTTGTGTTTTTGTGAGTTTATTAAAAAGCCAGACACCACCCCCCCCTGCCTTTTTGTTGTTGTTTTAATTGTGGAAAAAATATATAACAGAACATTTTCAAATTTAACATTTATTACACATCCAATTCAGTGACATTGATTACATTCATCATGTTGTACAACCATCGCCACTATCCTTTTCCAAATTATTCCACCACCATTAACAGAAACTCAGTGCCCACTGAGCAATGATTCCCCCTCTCCGCCCTCCTCCCACCCTGCGTAACCTCTAATAAGCTTTAGTCTCCATACGTTTGCCTGTTACATATAAGTGAGATCATACAGTGTTTGTCCTTTTATGTCTGATTTATGTCACTCGGCATAATGTTTTCAAGGTTCACCCATGTTGTAGCATGTATCAAAACTTCATTTCTCTTCATGACTGTATAGAATGTGTTCCCCCCCCCCCGCCTTTAATGTGGAAATTTTAAACAATGCTTTTTACCTTGAGATAGGTTAAGACTCACAAGAATTTGCAAAAGTGGTACAAAGAGTTCCATGTGCCCGTCACCCAGCTTCCCCCAATGACAACATCTTATGTAACCACAGCTCACTATTAAAACCAGGACATTGAGATGGGTACAATACTATTAACTACAGACCTTCTTTAGCAATTTGTACATACACTGGATGAGGGCTGTGGTGGTTCAGTGTTAGAATCCTCACCTCCCATGTGGGAGACCCAAGTTCAGTTTCCACTGAAGGCACCTCATGCACAGCCACCAACCATCTGTCAGTAGAGGCTTGCGTGTCGCTATAATGCTGAACAGGATTAAGCAGAGCTTCCAGACTAAAAGGAACTAGGAAGAAAGGCCTGGTGATATACTTATGAAAATCAGCCAGTGAAAACCCTATGGATCCCAATGATCTGATCCTTAACTGATCATGGGAGTGGTACAGGACCCAGCAGCATTTTGTTCCATCGTGCATGGGGTCATCATGAATCAGGGGCCAACTCCATGGCATCTAACAGCAACAGTCATATATGCCACAACCTAGATGGATCTCCAGGGCATTATCCTGTGTGCAAACAGCCAGTCTCGGAGGTTACATATGGCATGATTCCATTTACATAACATTCTCCAGGGGACAAAAGCATACTGATGGAGAACAGATGGGTGGTTTTGCAAACAATGAGTATGCTTGGCTGCTAACTAAAAGGTTGGAAGTTCAAGTCCAGCCAGAGACACTTTGGAAGAAAGGCCTGGTGATCTACTTCTCAAAAATCAGTCATTGAAAACCCTGTAGAGCACAGTTCTGCTTTGACACACATGAGGTCACCATGAGTCAGGGTCGACTCCATGGCAACTGATTTGGTTTTTTTGATTAGGGTTATGAGGAGGATCTAACCACAAACGGAGTTTCCTTGTGGTCATGGAACCCTTCTGTATCCTGACTGTGGTGACGGCTACTACACCTGTGATAAAATTTCAGTGAACAATCCAAGGCGCATGCTGAGCTGCTGCTTTCAGGATGGGCTCCCTATCACTCACTCAGCAAGGCCCTTCTTTTGTATTTTGTCACCTTGAGTTTGTAGTGGTACATTTAATAATATTTATCAGCATGTATCCTTAGTTGTGAGGATCCCTGATGATGCAGTGGTTAAAGTGCTCGGCTGCTGACCAAAAGGTTGGCGGTTCGAACCCACCAGCAGCTCCTTGGGAGAGAGATGTGGCAGTCTGCTTCTGTAAAGATTACAGCCTCGGAAACCCTATGGAGTAGTTCTACTCTGTCCTATAGGATACGTATGAGTCAGCATCGACTGGAGGGCGCTGGGTTTAGGGTTTTGTATCTTTGGTTGCAGAAACTGTAAAATAAGTTTTATTGTTTTTCTTTGTTGTCCTTTTAATGTTTGTATCAGTGTCTTAGTGCTGTTGTAACAAAGTACGCTAACTGGGGGGCTTATAAGAACAGGAATGTATTCTCTCCCAGGTCTGGGGGCTGGGAATCTGAATTCAGGGTGCGCAGGGCTGCGGGTTGTGCTTTCTTTGACAGCTCTGGAGGAGGATACTTCCTTGCCTGATCCAGCTTCTGGTGGCTCCAGTTGTTCCTGGCTTGTGGCCACATCACTCTATCTCTGCCTCTGTCTCCACATGGTCTTCTTCTCTGTGTGTGTATCTCTCTGTTTCTTATCTTTTATAAGGCACCAGTCATATTGCATTAGGACCCACCCTACTCCAGTATGACTTCAGGAACTTAACTGCTAACATCCGCAAACAAAACCCCTGTTTCCCCAAACAAGGTCAGGTTCACAGGTACCAAGGTTAGGACTTTAACATATCTTTTGGGTGGGAGGGCACAATTCAAGCCAAACCACTGAGCAGGGAGAACAGAGCTTGACCTAGCATTGCCTTTGCTTGCTGTGTGTCCTTGGGCCACACACACAACCTCTTTGAGCTTTGATTCTCTGTCTGGAATGGGTGAGACTGCTCGGCATGGGCAGGGGCCCTGACATCGGGCTGACGGGCAGGCGTAGGGACAGAGCATGTGCCCGATTCTCTGACAGCTGATGGTGGGGGACTCCCCTGTGCCCCCCAGGAGCGGTCGAGCTCTCCCGGCGCCATCCTGTTGCATCCTGGCTCTGTGCCATGCTGCACTGCTTCGGGAGCTACATCCTGGCAGACCTCCTGCTTGGGGAGCCCCTCATCGACTACTTCAGCAACAACTCCAGCGTCCTCCTGGCTTCAGCCATCTGGTGAGCGGCCGTGGGGGATGGAGAGCGGGGCTGGGGGCGGAGATGTCTCCTGTGTTGGGTGTCCAGGAAGCGGGAAGAACTGGGACCCCCGCACACCAAGCATGACCACCATGCCCCACACCCAGGTCTTTCCCAGGCTCCACACATCACAGAGGGGGGGCTCTGGACAAGCTCCAACAAATTCATGGCATGATAAGTCAGGTGTGATGCAGGAAAGAGGATTCAGGGCGGCCATAGAAGGGAACTGGTTTTTGCATATATATTTGTTCTCAGGGTATATAAGCATCTAGGAGCCTTGGTGGTACAAACAGTTAAGCGCTCAACTGCTAACCAAAAGGTTGGCGATTCAAACCCACCCAGTGACACCATGGGAGAAAGGCCTGGCGATCTGCTCCCATAAAGATTACAGCCAAGAAAACTCTATAGGACAGTTCTACTCTGTCACATGGGCTCACTAAGAGTTGGAATCGACTCAAAGGCATCTAACTACGGTGTAAGCATTAGATGCAAATTGTGATTCTGCTGTCCCCTCAAACTGGTCTCGGTTCCCGTGTACCTGTCATGGTGTGTGCATCTCAGCTTTCCGAGGATGATTCTAGTGTTTGAAGATGGTATTTTTCATACAAGGTCCCTGGGTGGTGCAAACAGTTTGCGCTTGGCTGCTAGCTGAAAGGTTAGCAGTTCGAACCCACCCAGCGATACTGAGGAAGAAAGACCTGGTGACCTGCTTCTGTACAGATTACAGCCAAGAAAACACTATGAAGCAGTTCTACTCCGCAAAAAAAAAAAAAAAGGTGTCGGTGGGGTGGACAGACCTGCATCCAGCCAGGGCCTCAAAACTGTGTCAACACAGCCTTTAAAGAAAATGAAATTGCAGATACCACATCCCCTCCCGGGGCCCCAGCCACTCCCCGACACACAGTGTTCTCTCCCCAAGGTACCTGATCTTCTTCTGCCCCCTGGACCTCTTCTACAAGTGTGTCTGCTTCCTGCCCGTGAAGCTCATCTTCGTGGCCATGAAGGAGGTGGTGAGGGTCCGCAAGATCGCAGTGGGCATCCACCATGCGCACCATCACTACCACCATGGCTGGTTTGTCATGATCGCCACCGGCTGGGTCAAAGGTGAGTAGGATGGCAACAATGAACATGGCCACAGTTGAGGACCCCTGCCCCAGTGGTACATGTCAGGCCCCCCCATTGGCATAGCTGTTGCTCCAGGTTGGGGGGGTGTCTAGCAGGAGTCCAGTTCTCCTTATTAGCCAATACCTTTGGGGTACATGGGAAGATTCTTCCAGAAATTTAACCACCAGAGGTAAATAGGATGACGATGATTGGAACAACATTGATAGCTGATGTCTCTAGGGCAGGGTTTCTTAACTGCAGCAATGTTAATATTTGGGGCCTGCTTTTGTTACCTAATTGAAAGGTTGGAGGTTGGAACCCAACTGGCGGGGCTGCAGAAGAAAGGCCTGGTGATTTGCTTCCATAAATGTTCCAGCCACGAAAACCCTATGGAGCGCTGTTCTGCTCTGACACACATGGGGTCGCAATGAATTGGAATCTACTCACTGGCAACTGGTTAGGTCCCTGGGTGACACTAACAGCTTGCACTCGACTACTAACCTAAAGGTTGGCAGTTTGGCCTACCCAGCAGGGCCATGGAAGGAAGGCCTGGCGATCTGCTTTTGAAAGGTCACAAACTTGAAAACCCTATGGAGTGCAGGTCTGTTTTGCACACGTGGGGTCGCCATGAGTCGGTGTCGACTTGACAGCAACTGGTTAGGCCCCTAGGTGGCTTAAATGGTTTGTGCTTGACTATTAACTTGAAAGTTGATGGTTCAAATCCACCCAGTGGTACCATGGAAAAAAGTTCTGTTTCCATAAAGAGTACAGCCAAGAAAACACTATAGAGCTCAGTTCTACTCTGTAACACATGGGGTTACCATGAGTCCGAGTCAACTAGATGACAGTGAGTTTGGTTTTTGGTTTGGTCTTAGTTACCTAGGGCTGCAGGGACAAAAAACACCACAAGTGGTGGCTTTAAAGAAGAGGGATTTATTGTCTCACAGTTTTGGAGGCTGGAAGTCCAAATCCAGGCATCTGTTCTAGGGGAGGGTCCTTCCTTGTCAGTAGGCCGAGAGTCCCTGTGCTTTCCTTGGCATCTGTCTTCCCCCTGTGTGTGTATCTGTGTCTGTTCTGCTCTTTTTATAAGACACCACTCAGAAGGCATTAGGTTTAGGGCCCACCCTACTCTAGTATGACCGAAATAACGTAATAAAAGAAAACCGTTATATCCAGACAGGGATACATTCAAGGTACAGAGGTTAGGACTTCCATATTTCTTTTTGGGGGGGGCACAACTTAATCCATAATGGGGCTGGCTCATTCTCTGTGGCGGGGCCCGTCCTGTGCATTGTAGGGTGTTGAGCAGCTTTCCCAGCCTCTACCTACTAGATCCCAGTAGTTACCCTCCCAACTGTGACAACCAAAAATGTCTCCAGGCATTGCCATTGTCCCCTGCCCCCCATTTGAGAACCTATGTGAGGTATAGTTTGAACCTCCGGTACATATCAGCACACCCCACCCAGTTGTCTCACCTATTCCTCCAGGTGGGGGTGCCCAAGCCTCCACATTAGCCAATTCCTTTGGGATAAATGGGAGATTCTTTCAGAAATTTAACATTATATCTCCACTTGGGTCTCCTTATTCTCCCTCTCCAGGAAGCTTCTACTACAAAGCAGTTTCCCAAGGGTATAGCATGCCTCCCAGAGGGTGGGTGGCTTGGAAGATTGAAAACTCAGAGCCCGAGGAGGAGAGAAGCTGAGAGAGTTCTGGAAGCTTGGGCTGGGGACATCCGGGCAGACCACGCCAGGTGTGTCCAAGACCCACTTTGCAGGGGTGGGGGGGTGGGGGGAAGGTACCACCATTACTCCTTGTCTTAGTTTCTTAGTGCTGCTATAACAGAAGTGCCACAATTGGGTGGCTTTAGTGAACAGAAGTTTATTTTGTCACGGTTCGGGGGCTAGATGTCCAAATTCAGGGTGCTGGCCGTAGGGGAAGGCTCTCTCTGCTGCAGGGGAAGGTCCTTGTCTCAACTTCTCTAGCTTCTTCTCAGCATTCATTGACTATCTCCACGGGGCACCTACCTATCTTCCTTTGTTTGTGCTCACTCGCCTCTGTGTCTGTGCTGCTCCTTATAACTCAGAAGTGATAACCTAAGGACCCACTGTATCCTATGTGGGCTCATTAGCATAACAAAGAAAGCCCTGTTCCCATATGGGATCACATCCACAGGGATGTTGTTAATTTCCATCTCCTCAATTTGGACTCACGTGTGTCAGAGTAGAACTGCTCCATAAGGTTTTCAAGGCTGTGATCTTTCAGAAGCAGGTCTTTCAAAGCCTTCTGACACAGCTCTAGGCAGGTTTGAACCGCCGAACTTTTGGCTAGTAGTCAAGCTGTTAACTGTTTGTGCCACCCAGGGACTCCTGTCTACAGTTATAGGGGTTAGGATTCCACATATATCCTTAAAATCCAAACCCACTACTGTCAAGTCGATTCTGACTCATAGCAGCCTTATAAGACAGAGTGGAACTGTTCCATGGGGTTTCCAAGGCTGTAAATCTTTACGGCAGCAGTCTGCCATATCATTCTCCCGTGGAGCGGTTGGTGGGTTTGAACGGCCAACCTTTAGGTTAGCAGCCGAGCGCTTAACCACTGCACCACCAGGGCTCCTACACATATCTTGGGAGGGGGCCACAATTCAATCCTCAATACTCCTTCATGCTAGTTCTGCTCTGAATGTGCCATGTGACCCTCTGAGCCTCAGTTTCCTCACCTGCATCTGGTGATCACACATACCCAGGCTGCATGCCCCTTAGGGGAAGCCTCAGGGGCGGGGAGGCTGCCCGTTGGGAACCTGGAGCTGGAGTGACTCCTTCAGACGCTTCTGCCCGTAGGCTCTGGAGTCACCCTCATGTCCAACGTTGAGCAGCTGCTCCGAGGCGTCTGGAAGCCGGAGACCAACGAGATCCTGCACATGTCCTTGTGAGTAGCCACCCACCCACCTTCCCATGTTCATGAGTGCCTCGGGCCTCACCCTGGGCTAGGTAACTTGAAGAGGCCTCAGCCCGAGGTTCTCCCCTCCAGGAGCTGGGCAGGGGTGGGCAGAGCTGCAGAGGAGAGCTGACACTTGATTTGGGTTTTGAAGAATGAGCAGGACTTTCAGCAGGGAAGGAGCCCTCTGGTCACCAACTCTGCAAAGCAGCAAGTCAGGAAAGAGAAGAGATGGGGCCTAGTTCAGAGGGGCTAAGGTGGGAGAGTGGGGGTAGGGAGTGTGCAGCTTGGTGGGGAGTGAAGGGTGGGGAGCATAAGGGAGGTGTACTGGAGAGCATAGGCTTTGTGGGGAGCATGGGGTGAGAGTGGGGTTGGGAGCGTGAGGTTGAGTGGGGTGCATGGGGTGGGAGGGTGGGGTATGTGGGGTGGGGCGTCTGGCTGGGACAAGGTGGGGGGCATGGGGTTGGGTGGGGAGTGTGGCCAGGACAAGGTGAGGAGCAGTGGGCAGGCCAGGTACAGTATCCAGGACTCAACCCAGGACCCTGCATTGTATTTAGCCTCACACATTTCTAAAAGATCTTTTAGTTTTGGGCTACTTACATTTTCCCCAAGACACAATAAATAAAGCCATAGCCAGTTAAATGTGACAAAGTTAAGGGGCTCACCTATATACCACTGAAAATCTTCTCCCATCTTACTCTTTGGAAAACACGGGGTACCTCATTTCCTCCCTGTGAGAAGTCTGCCCTGTCCTTAGCCCAAAGATGAGGACGCATAGACCCAGAGCACTTATGTCACTTGCTAGGATTCAGGACAACATCACCTCATCCAAGCCGCCAGTGCGTGTTCCCACCTCACACTCAGGAGAAGCTGGGGTGGGAGCAGGGCGGAGGGTCCTCCACGGAGCCCTGACCAGCCACGCCCCTCCCTTCCAGCCCCACCAAAGCCAGCCTGTATGGAGCCGTGCTCTTCACCCTCCAGCAGACACGCTGGCTCCCCATCTCCAAAGCCAGCCTCATCTTCATTTTCACCATGTTCATGGTGTCCTGCAAGGTAAGCTGGGGTTGGGGAGGGGCTCAGGATGCGGTCACTTCTGGCTGAGGGTGGCCAGCACAGAAAGGGGGGAGCTTCGGTGCAGGGTCCAGCCGGTGGGGTGAGGATGGGGGAAGGAGAAGCACTCTGGCAGAGGTCCTACCCTGGGGGTGCCAGGTATATTTGGGAAATGGGCAGAATTGGAGCCTCGGGTTGCAGAGAGCACAGGAAGAGGCGCTGGGGCACTTAGACCAGGGCTAGTGCTGGTCCATGCTAAGTCTTGAGCCCCCCATGGGGGGACCCACCCTGAGTTGAGATGGAAGGCCCCAGCACAGAGGCATATCCTCCCCCGACGTAAACCTCAATTTCAGGGGAGGAGGAGAGGGGAGCAGATGGTCCAAGTCCTGTTCTGTCCCTTGTTTGCTGTGTAACCCCAGGCCACGCCCTGTACCTCTCTGAGCCCAGTGGAAACCACTGGGGAGGGGGGCAGGTATGCCAGTCCTGGTTTTACCATTAGAAGTCCCGTATCCTGGGACCCCACCAGGATGGTGGGTCCCCCTCCTGGGGGCATGTACAGCCAGACTTCAGGCTAGGCTACCTCTGCCCTTGACTCTGCTGACCTTCTGTCCCCTCTTCCCCACCTGCTTCCCCCTCTATTCCTCTTTAGGTGTTCCTAACAGCCACCCACTCCCACGGATCCCCGTTTGATGTCCTGGAGGGCTACATGTGCCCCATGCTGTTCGGAGAAGGCTGTGGGGATGACCATCATGACAACCATGGGAGCCAGGGCACGTCCCATGGTGACAGCCAGGGTGCTCTGCACTCACCCCTGCCCTCCAAGTCCAAGGAGGAGCTGAGTGAGGGCTCCAGGAAGAAGAAGTCCAAGAAAGTGGATTAGGGGGCTGCCCAGGGGCCATGGGCACCAGGGAGGGGGCATCCTGGGCTTGGCTTACCCCTCTGGGCCCTGACTCCCTGTCTGCAAACTGGGGCCATCTGCCCACCTCCTGGGGCTTATGAGATTAAGTAAGATATGGGGGTACAGGGATGAGGGGGTCGCCCTCTCTGCCAGGCTCCTAGCTTTCAGGGGGCCACACAGAATCCCAGCAGCAGCTCCAACCAAAAACCCTGCTGTCATTTTCTTGGTTCTACTTTTCCCTAAAATTGTGTTCTTGACTCAAAGAATTTTAAGGAACTCTGAGTCATTTATTTGATGGACATTTGCTGAGTCCCTGCTGTGACCCATGCCCTGCTCCCAGCATAGAGGCCCTGGCACGATTTTGAAGTCTCTTCTTGCGTAAGCTCTCCAGGGCCTAGACCACTTCCCTGTGCCTGGAAAGTTCCAGCCCTAGCTGGGCATCCCCAGGGGAGTTACCTGCCTTCTCTGAGCCTCCTGTTCCTCCTTTGTACAATGGGCAGAAGCCTCGCACCCGCTTCTGATGGGGTGTGGGCCGCCTGGCCAGAGAAGGTCTTCATGTGGACATGAAAAAGCTTTATAAGCTCGTAGGCTCAGTGGTGTTGGAGGGGTTATTAATTATGATTGAAAGTGGCTTTGCATTTTAGATCGTTTGAGTTTGCAGATCGGGGACCCCGCCGGTAACTCGGCATGGAGGAGGCCTCCAGAAGACATGTCGAGACTGGATTTGAGAGCCTGTGGTGTGGGGAAGACTCTTTCTGACCTTCCACTGCCCTTGAACCCAAGAAGTGCTACAGACTGGGCCAGTATTCTAAGACCCAGCTCTGGCAGGAGCCCAGAGCTCTCAGTGTGGACCCTGGAAGCATCAGAACTCCGTCATTCTGGCCTCGTTCACTGTGGCTCCTTCAGTCACTCAGCAAACATCCTGATGCCTGCTCTGTGCCAAGCCTTGTGCTGGGAGGGCCAAGGACTGGCTGTGGGTTGAGCGAGTGGGTGGTCCTAGGCTGCCGGGAGAGGTCAAATAGCATGAGATGTTGAGGTGGGGGTTGGGCATCTCCAGTCTCAGGTGGGGGTTGGGCTTAGGACTATAAGTAGGTGCTCAGGGCATGCTCAGGGCATCCACCAGGAGCTGGGGGCAACCTAGAGATCAGCATGAGGTTGGCCAAAGCTTGGTGGTGGTCTCAGGAGTTGCCCAGCTGTTAGGAAAGTGCCTTTTTCCGGGTGATGCCTGAAAGCTGGGTGGGTTCTGAAGCTGTCACGCCCCAAGTTCATCCCCTTGCATGTCCTTGAGAGGTCAGCAAATAAATCCATTGTGAATGAACCCTGATGCTGGTCTGATTTGTTCCCATGCTCTCAGCCTCAAGACGAAGTGACACAGGTGGGGTCTGTATCCCCAGATGCTGTGACCTTCTACTGGAGTGAAGCTCAAGGTAGCTCCTGATTGCCAGGGAAGATGGCGGCAGTGGGGGAGGTCTCTGGGATTTGGGGTCAAGTGGACCTGAGTTTGAATCCCAGTATTGTAGAGAAAGATCAAATCCTCAAGAACTTCACATAAAAGAATTATCAGATGTATAATATAATATGCAGTAAATACACTTCAAGTGATTAAAGGCAAAAGAAAGACTCAAATTAGAAAAGAACAAGACGCTGTTGAAAAGACTGCACTGTTGTAATACCTAACAAGCAAATAATTTATACACAAATTATATAAATAATTTCTACAAATAAATTAGTAAAAGGAAAGCGAGCAAACAGAAAAATGGGCAAGATGTGTGAATGGGCAATTTCAAGAAGCTGAGATTAAAATAACAAATATGAAAGATGTTCAACCTTGTAGTAATCAAGGAAATAAACTAAGGCCACAATTAGATGCTGTCTTGTCTCCTAAAGGAGCCTTAGTGGTGCACTGGTTAAGCACTCGGCTGTTAACCAAAAGGTCAGTGGTTTGAACCTACCAGCTGCTCCGTGAGAGAAAAATGTGGCAGACTGCGTCCATAAAGATTACAGCCTTGGAAACCCTATGGGGCAGTTCTGCTCTGTCCTAAAGGGTTGCTATGAGTCGGAAGCTACTGGATGGCAATAGGTTTGGTTTAGTCTCCTAGAGCTGCCATAACAAAATACCACAAAGTGGGTGGCTTTAAAGAACAGAAGTTGATCGTTTCACAGTTCTAGAGGCTAGAAGTCCAAATCAAGGTCTCTGTAGGTTGATTCCTTCTGGAGACTTAGAGAGGGGAACAATTCTGTGTCTCTTTCCTAGTTTTCTAGTGGCTCCCACAGAGCCCTGGTGGCGCAGTGGTTAAGAGCTCAGCTGCTAGCCAAACGATCGGCAGTTCGGATCCACCAGCCGCTCCCTGGAAACCCTCTGGGGCAGTTCTGCGGTGTCCTATAGGGTCGCTATGAGTCAGAATTGACTTGATGGCAACGGGTTTTGGTTTTTTTTAGTGACTGCCATACCTTGGCTGCTTATAGATGCATCTGCATCTGTCTTCCCCCTGTGTGTGAGACTGTTTCCATGTCTGCCCTTATATAAAACACCGTTCAGAAGGAATTAGGATTAGGACCCACCCTACTCCTGTATGACCTCATTAGCCTAACTGATAACATCTGCAAAGAAAAACACTATTTCCCTGAAGAAGGCCACGTTCACCAGTGAAGGGGTGAGGACCTCAACATATCTTTTAGAGGGACACAATTCAATTAGAGAGCCCTGGTGGCACAGTGGTTAAGAGCTCGGCTGCTAACCAAAAGTATGGCTGTTTGAATCCACCAACCGCTGCTTGGAAACCCTGTGGGGCAGTTCTACTCTGTCCTATAGGGTCATTGTGAGTTGGAATTGACTAGATGGAAATGGATTTTGTTTGGGTTTAATTCAACCTGTAACGACCAATTCTTCCGCCAACAGGCTGATCACTTCTCTGAGTCTGTTTGCTTTGGGGGAAAAAAGGGGTGGTGATTACCCCTGCCTGTTGGGGTACCCGCCCATTGCCCTCAAGTTGATTCTGACTCATAGCGACCCTATAGGACAGAGTAGAACTGCCCTACAGGGTTTCCAAAGCTGTAAATCTTTATAGAAGCAGAGTGCCACATCTTTCTTCTGCGGAGTGGCTGGTGGGTTTGAACTGCTGACCCTTCAGTTAGCAACCAAGCGCTTAATCACTGAGCCATCAGGACTCCCACCCACAGGGTAGGAGGGAGAATTAATGGGTGATTGGGGTTTGTGGCTAAGCGCAGGCTCGTCTCCTGAAGACCCTTTTACGAGAATGACAGCTGAGCCACAGTCCAGCAGGAATATCCCCACTGTCATCGAGTTGATTTTGACTCAGTATCCACAATATATAAAGAACCCTCAAAACTCAATAATAAGAAAACAAACCTGATTTTAAAATGGGCAAAAGAGAATGGATAAACACAATGTAGTCTATCCATACAATGGAGTATTATTTAGCCATAAAATGGAATGAAGTCCTCGTACATGCTACAGTGTGGATGAATCTTGAAAACATGCTGAGTGAAATAAGTCAGACACAAAAGACACATCTTGTACGATCCCACTGATATGAAATGTCCAAAACAGGCAAATCCATAGAGACAGAAAGCAGATTAGTGGTAGCCAGCGGCTGGGGGAGGGGGAAATGGAGAGTGACTGCTATGGGCACGGGTTTCTTTTTGGGATGATGAGAATGTTCTAGAACTAGATAGAGGTGGTGGTTGCACAACATTGTGAATGGACTAAATGTCACTGAATTGCCCACTTTAAAATGGTTAATTTTATGTTATGTGAATTTCAACCCAATTAAAAAAATGAAGGAAAGATCTGAACAGACACTTTACCACAGAGGATATTCGATTGGCATATAAATAAGCATATGAGAAGATGCTCAACATCTTTAGCCATCAGGGAAGCACAAACTGAAACACAGTGAGATACCACTTCACACTCACCGAAAGAAACCAAACCAAACCCATTGCCATGAGTCAATTCCTACCCATAAAGGCCCTATAGGACAGAGTAGAACTGCCCCATTAGGGTTTTCAAGGCTATAATCTTCACAGAAGAAGACTGCCACAGCTTTTTCCTGTGGAGCCACTGGTGGATTCGAACCACTGACCTTTCAGTTAGCAGTTGAGCTCTTAACCACCATGCCACCCGGGCTACTTTCACACTCACTGAAACAAAAAAACCAAACCCACTGCTGTCAGTCGATGCTGACTCATAGCAACCCTATAGGACGGAGTAGAACTTCCCATAGGGTTTCCAAGGAGCAGCTGGTAGATTCAAACTGCTAATCTTTTAGTTAGCAGCCAAATACTTAACCACTGTGCCACCAGGGCCGCTTCACCCTCACTAGAATGGCTAAAATGGAAAAGACTGACCATACTAAGTGTTGGTGAGGATGTGGGGCAACTTTAACTCTCAGACACTGCTGGGGGGAGTGTACAATGGTACAATCACGTTGGAAGACAGTTTAGCAGTTTCTTAAAAAGTTAAACACACACCTGCCATATGACCCAGCCATTCTACTGCTAGGTATTCACTCAAGATGAATGAAAACACGTGTCCATACAAAGACTTGGGTATAAATGTTCAGAGCATTTGTAATCCCTCAAAACTGGAAACAACAAGCAACTGTCCATCAACAGGTGAGTGGATAAATAACTGTGGTCCAGCCACGAGATGAAACACTACTCAGCAATGAAAAGGAATGAGCTTCTGACACTCCAGATGATGAGGCTGAGTCTCAAGGCATTTTTTCAGGGACAGAAACCAGACTTGAAAGACTGCCTACTGTGTGATCCCATTGATAAGACATTCTGGAAAAGACAAACATATAGGGACAGGGAACAGATTGGGTGTTGCTAGGGGCTGGAAGTGGGAGGAGATGTTGACTACAAATGGGCCCAGGGGGACTTGAGGGATGATGGGACTGCCCTGTATCCTGACTGTGGTGATGGCTCGACAGCTGTGTTTGTCATAACTTGCAGAACTGTATGCTGAAAAGGGTGAGTTTTATACCTTAGGTCCCTGGGTAGTGCAAGCAGTTTTCGCTCGACTGCTGGTTAGCTGACTCATCCAGCGGAACCACGTAAGAAAGTCCTGGTGATCTGCTTCTATAAAGATTAAACTAGAAAGTAAAAACCAAACCCATTGCCATCGAGTCAATTCCAGTGTGTGGCGACTCCATGTGTTAAACAGAGTAGAACTGCTTCGTAGGGTTTTCTTGGCTGTAATATTTACGAAAGCAGATTGCTGTGTCTTTCTTCTGTGGTGCTGCTAAGTGGGTTCAAACTACCAACCTTTAGGATGGTAGTCAAGCACAAACCACTTGTGTCGCCCAGAAACCAGCCAAGAAACCCCTATGGAACACAGTTGTACTCTATCACACATGGGGTCGCCATGAGTTGAAATCAACTCAACAGTAACTTGTTTTTCCTTGCTTAAGTTATGTCTTAATTAGAAGGAGGAGGAAGAGAAGGAGGAGCAGGAGGAGGGGAGGAGGAGGAAGAAGAGGAGGAGGAAGAGGAGATGAAGAAGGAAGGTGGTGGGGAGTAGTGCAGGTCTGGAGCCGTCAAGACTGTATCATATCCTAGCCTTGTCCCTCTGCGATGTGTGATGGGCGGACACCCCCCCCCTTCCCTGAGCCTCGGTTTTCTCACTGGGTGGAGTCTCTGTAAAGCCTTTGGCTCAGGCGGGAGGTCTGGTGGGGATTACAGACCCAGCTCTGTGAAGTGCCGGGAGACCTCCTACCTGGGCTGCTCGGCACCAGGCAGGGGAGATAAGCTGCTTCCAGCCTCCCCTCACAAATGCTGTGGGGTCTCACCATCTGCGAGCACAGACTGTACCAACATAGCTCCCCAGTCTATTCCGGGAAGGGGGCGGGCCCCAACAGCAGCCACTGGCTGGCCCTGGCGCTCGTGATGATGTGAGAACTCGGAGGCTGGCTCTCCGTCCAGGCTGATTTTTAGCTGTAGGAGTGGCTCGATAGCTTGCTTGGTCTTGAATGGAGAGGAAGATCCTGAAAGGTTCTGAAAGAATCTGTAGCGTGAAAGATGAGGTGGATGCAGAGCTGTGGGGTGCCTGGGTCTAATACCAACAAGAGAGAGTAGTGTCCACCTTCCAAGGGATTTCCTCGTGCGCTCTTTAATGAGCACCGAATCTGTCTTATGTTCCTCATTGTCCCAAGAATCCAAGGAGGGGTATATGAGTGTCCTGGGACTGCGTAACAATTGACCACAAACTTGGCTTAAACAACAGAAATTTACTCTGTCACAGTGCTGGAAGCCATAAG